TATATATATATATATATATATATATATATATATATATAGAGAGAGAGAGAGAGAGAGAGAGAAAGACTTGGGATCATGTGAGACCAATGATTTTTCACGAGATCTGTAAGACCAATTCTCAACCCTTGAATTAGATCTACAATTTGACAATCTGAACATTTATAAACGCCACGAGACTTCTCAAGAATCACAAAATTGTCACCGTGCAACTTTAGACTATTAGATCATTAACTTATAAAGTTGATCAATAAACATAAATTGATCTTACGAGTCTCACGAAAAACCTTTGATCTCACATGAACCCAACCCTATATATATGAAACAACTTCATCAAAAAAAGTATTATATGAAACAATTTCACAAGATTAATAATTTCATGAAAAAATTTCATAAGATTAATGATGGATGAGAATAGTTTTTACGGTTTTTACAAATTGGAGTGGTTTTCATTTGATCGCTCCTCGATATATATCGAAATCAGGTTAAATCATATATTGAAAATATATATATCGAAATCAGGTTAAAGGGCTGTTTGGCAGTTGCTGAATGATTTAGTGCAGAATAGTTAAGAGGTCAGAATGGTTAAAAGGGTCAGAATGGTTAAGTGCTGAATGAAATAATGTTGTTTGGTAACTGTTCTCTGAATGACAATAAATTACCATTTTAACCCTCATCTAACAAAAACCCATTATTCGAATTCGATTCAACAAAAACACGTATTTCATATTAATCCAAACAAACATAGCGATACTAGTTCAAAACAAGATTTTTCATATTAATCCAAACCAACATAATATTATTTTTTCATAAGCAATTACCAACCATATTTGTCCTGTATGTCTTTCAATTGTTTTTGTGGGTCAAAATCTTCAATTGTTTTTGTGGGTCAAAATCCCTTGGGATAGCCAGTTCTTCCTCCTTTCAGTCTCCAGTTTCGTAGAAGAAAAACAAGGGGAATCCTATTAAGCTACTGTTAAGGGGCTGTAAAAAACAAGGGGCTGTCAAAAATAGAGAGACCTGATGCGAGCGGCGATGGAGACGACCGAGGTCGCCGGCGATGGAGACGATGGAGGTCACCGGCGAAAACCGGCCGATCTGGGGAAGGGGACGAAGGCGACGGGTTCAAGAGATCCAGAGATGGTGAAGACGATGATGGTCAAAACAGAGAGATTCTGGGGAAGGCGATGAAGACGATGATAGTATTCACATTAATATTATATTAAGTGCGTGCATGTTTTTCAACCAAAAGATTAGATAGAAAATCAAAGAAAACACACATGTCAAAAGTGAGGAATATACCTGGATACGAACGTAGTTACTACAACGGCTCTGACCGAACGCCATGGCGACGGCGTGGTCCACCATGTCGGCGGAGCTGTCACCGGAGATTCGAGCCATGGGTCTAGCCCAGTCTTTAGCCTTCCACCCTTTGACTTGGTCGTAATCGTAGTTTCCTTCTAGAAGCTGACCCGTGCCGAGTGAAAGTACCAAGAGGTCCTCCACCCCGCGCACGAACGGGAATTCCTGCTTGTTGTGTATCACGTGAGTGATCGCGGCGGCGGTGGGGTTGCTCATGGCTAAGCCGCCGTCCACCGCAACGCATCGGGTTTTACCATCGATGGACTTCATGGAGACCGGTTCGAACAAGTCCGGTTCGGCTGATGTGGCGCGGCAGACCTCCCAGAGCCGGAAGTCGAAGCTGTCGGTTTCCAAAGCGTCGGCTCGAGAGAAGAGAAACGGAGCTGAGCTGGAGAGGTCGTAGCAGGGGATCAAAACCGGCTTCAACGTGTCTTTTAATGTCAAACTCCTTCCGTTGACCTCGAACGCTTCCTTCATGGCGTTTTCAAATGCTGTGGTGGCATGGCTTATCCCTCCTCCGCCGCGAAACAACCTTTTCCACAAACCTCCACCGCCACCGCCACCGCCGGCGGAACTAGATTTCTGATGATACAATCGCTTCCCTTGCTCCGCCAAAAACCTCCACGTCTCCTCCGCTTTGAAAATCGGAACCCTCTGACTTTTGCTTCCGAAGAGCATCGCCGTGAACACACCTCCGACACCTGTGCCAGCGGCAACATCGATATAATCGGCGATTCTCGCATTCGGATTGCCGGATTTCGCTTTCAACGCCTTTTCAAATTGCGCCAGCGCTTTACCTGCTAAAATACCACGCATTCCTCCACCATCAATAGAGAGTAAACAGATTTTGCCTCTCTGATTCTTCATCGATAGAACACCACCGTCATCCGATTGCGTCGGCGTAACAGAAATTTCCGGAGAAACTTGTTTAGGTTTCCAAAGCTTGGGATCGTTGTAACCGAATAAAAACTTGGACTCGAGGATTGAGAAAATCTCGTAACTGAGCTTATCGGTGACGATGCTGGGCTCTTCCGAAGATTCACGATTGGAATCCATCTTTTTGTAACCAAATCTCGTTTTCTTGAAATAGCAACAGATATGTATTATTACGGAAATCTTCACACGCAACCTCCTTCAAATCAAAACCTAGGTATATGTCGACCTCCGCATTCAATTTCCGGACAAATATAGCTTTCAATTCTCTTGCCACTTTTACTCGATCAACAGAAGAATATTAGGTAAATCTCCCCAAAAACCTCCCTCCCGCCAAATATCACAACAAGACTCGTTAAATTCCTCATCGTCTTCATCGCAATCAAAGAACGTAATCTCGAAACAGATCCAATTTCCTTAAATTGACAAGAAGGAATCAAACAAGAACATGAAAAGGGGATGAAAGAGCATACATGATTAAAGAAAAGTGAGAAATGGAGGATGTGAGAACGCAAGAACAGAGTGATTGACGAAAATATGTATTCTTCAAGATCTTATCATTTTTATATGAAAAAGGCTCAGACATACACCAACAACCAAAAATATTTTTTATATAAAAAATGCTTGCAGAGACCGTCTTCTTCCTTCCACCCTTTTTCCCTGTGTTTCTTGGCGGTTTTAACCATGGTCAAGGGTATGGAGCTATGGTTGACCGACTTTTTTATGGTGTAAATGTTCACTTTTAGTCCCTTAGGTTTTAGCTTTCGACGTTTTAGTCCATCAATTCAACACTAGGGGAGTTTAAAATCCAAAGCAAACCCGAACCAAAAACAAGGTGTATGTACAAAATCCAAATGTGTGAAGTCTGAAACCCGACTTCTTAAGGGATATTTGGGTTCGGGTTGAGCATGATTTTTGGTCTCCCAACCATTTGAAAACCTAAAATATACATACATCTATAGGGGTTAAAAATCATGTAAGGACTAAAAAAAGGTCGAGGATCGTGAAGACTAATCTTAATAATTATTTGATTATAATCTACGGCTATGAAAGACGATGATATTTTTGTAATTTGAAACTAATTATTAGATAAATGGCAAGTTGAAAAAAATAATCTAGTCATTTGATGTCCAAGTTATAGTTATAATAACGGTTATCGAAATTATATTAATTACAATAAAATTTTAAATTTAGAATATAATAATTACAATAAACTCTTTAATCAAAAAATTTATATAAAAAACAAAACGAACGTTTTATCTTCTTTAATTTGACAGAGTATCATTAGTTTTTTATATTTTTTTAATAATTGCATTTTCATATGAAACAGTAAAAGTGATTTAACTCATATCTAATTTCGTCTTCTGAAACAACACTTTAATATTTTTACATCACATTTTACGTCATTTTTTATTTCTTTTCACATGATGAACAACACTAGATTATTTCACCATGTGAAACAACACTACATTGTTTCACCATGTGAAAAATTGTGTTGTTTCACATGACACCACATTTCACTTCAATTTTTATTTGTTTTATTTTCAAATTGTGAAACAACACTACATGGTTTCACCATGTGAAACATTGTATTGTTTGACAATATGAAAACACTTTAGTGTTTCACATCCATTTCACGTTTCACATCCATTTCACGTCAACTTTTGTTTTATTTTATTTTCAAATTGTAAAACAACACTACATTTTTATTTTCAAATTGTGAAACAACAGTACATTGTTTCACCTTGTGAAAAACAACAATTTATTTTTTAACATTAGTGACATTATTTACATTGGATGATCTTTAACTGATTTTTTAAAATAGAGAAAATTGAGATTTAATTTTTTCTTTCGACCTATCAGAGAATTTATTGGTCCCGTCTGGTATGCAAGAATGGAAGCATTTGAAGAATTTGGAATTGAATTTAATTCTAAACTCATGTTTGATTTGAAGGATTTCATTTGTTTGTAAGATCCCATTTGTGTGTAAGCTCCTTTTTGTGTGTAATAATATTTTAAAATTATTGAAAACATTTGTTTATAATAATCAATAAATAAAAAGGTAATTTAATTATTTTTATAATTACTTATAAATTATTTTTATAACTACTTATAAATTATTTTTATTTTTTTTTAGAAAATAGAATTCAATTTCATTTCAAATCCTACAAACTAAAAAAAATAAAAGATTCTAAATCTTATAAATTAAACATACTAAAAATTTCAAATCTTTTCAGAAAATCCAAATTTCCCAAAACTATTAATATTAAACCAAACACCGAGTAAGTGTAGAAAAATCTCTAAAATTTCGTTTGAGAATAGATAAATACTAATTTTATTAATTTCCACCAATGGAATTAATTTATTATTATTATTTTATATAAAGTGTTTTTTTTAAATGTATGAAATGATAAAATTATAAAATATTTTAAATAATATAGTTAAATAATAAACTCTCTAAAATAAAGAATATCTTGAAATTAAATGTAATTTTTTTATCAATTTAAATTTTTAATTCTTTGCTTTATATACATTATAGAGAATATATTGTAGATGTTCTTATAGAATTAAATATTAATTAACATTAATTAAATGATCTTATTTTAGTTCTTGTGTTCTAATCACTAATAATTAGAAAATCAGTTCAATTTTTCTGTAATTATAAACGGTGCATATTTTAGTAACTATAAAATATCAAGGATAGTAAACTGAAAACTTTGGAGCGTCATATAATGTCATTCACCGTGCAGAAAAATCTAACTATTTAAGATTCATCAAAAGGCCATTTTATGTTTGAAAAGTAATTTTTTTTGTTCGGTTGGAAAGAAAATGAGTTTGTAAAGTACATTGTGTCCGTCGGCCTCTTAAACATCGTGGCCCGACTAGGAAGACAAAGAATATGTTAAATTTGTTAAACCAGTTCACCAGTTAAAATAATTGATGTGTTGTTGAAAGGCGAGGTCACCTCACAATTGTGGTTATGTGGGACCGACAACTAATTGATGTCTTTTGTTAAGTGACTTTGTTTTACCCCATCGATAAAAATTACACTCATTTTTTGTCTTTGCAAAAGAAGTATATACATGGTACAAAACTAATTTCACATTTTCTCAATTCAGTTTTTATCATATGTAAAGTATTATAATTACATTTTCTAATAATGTAGCTTACAATATATCTAAGCTACGTTTTCAACTTCGTTCATTTTTTAAAATTCTTTTATACATCAAAACGTATAAAATGCAATAATGTGAAGACATTTTGCCTATTGCTTTTTTAACCTGATCTCAGAAGCTTTATTTTCTGTAGAGTTCGAATGAATCATCTATGTCATTTGTCCTTTTTTACCCACATGAGTGTAACACATGTGTTTTTACGGTTAATCGTTTATGGGTGTAGATTTGTTTTAGAAATCCATTCAGTGACCAAACATTATTGAATGTTTGTAGTATTTAATCAAGGGTTGTGGTTTAGTTGGGAAGAAGAAAAGTTGTGTCAAAGACTATCTCAGGCATTCAGGGACCTTCCATGCAAATTTGGTCACACGAGAAGTCAGAAACCAACTTAATAACACAAAGTAAGTGTTGGAACACTGATTTTTGTGTTCGATGACTTTCCAAGCGACTTAAGTGGCTTCACAAGCCTCATGTGGCCCCTGAGGGTTAAAAACGTGATTTGTTGGGGTTTTTTTTCATTTAATTTGGTCATAACTTTCCTGTCTCTTATTCAACGTAAGCGATTCCATAGGCCATAGTTTCATATCTTAAAGCTCTTTAAAGTGGGGAAAAGAAAGGATTGAAGTTCCCTTTATAATTTGGGTTTCTATAAATTGAAAGGTAAGATCTAAATTGTTGTTTCTTGACCTAGGGTTTGGTATTTTTCCATCCTTAACCTCCATCTCTTCTTTGTGGTGTTTTGTTAGTTCTTGGGAGTCCAAGAGAGTGTTCTTGAAAGCCTTACACCATAGATCTAGAAGTCTAGCTTATGGATCTCAAGTCTCCACCTTTGGAAGCTAAAAATTTGGGAAGTCAACTAATACAAGAATTCTACTTCTTGAAGATCAACTCTCTATCTAAGAGAAAGACTTTCCCACACGCACAAGACTCCTTAACATTTTCTTTTAGCAAGTCTTTTCTTTCTTGGTTTATGTATCTTGTGTGTTTCTTCGAGTGTTTAAATAAGTTCAATGTCTTATCTTTTCTTCAAACAATCTGTAAAATTCTATATTGATCTTCTTTATCAATAAAGGATTTTAAAAAGTGAAAATTGTTGTGTTTGTATTCACCCCCCCCCCCTTCTACAAACTAT